ATACCATTGGATTCTTTTACCTCTCCACGTCAATAACAACCACTGGACACTATTAGTTGGAAACACTCTTGATAATACAGTTGAAATTGCGGATTCCCTTAATGGTGATAATAGTTCAAAGCTTGATATGTTTGTGAAATACATGATATCACGGTCATCTGTTACTAATAAACTAAATAAATAGAGAATGGGACAAAGTTATTTTTAATGCACCTCAGCAACTTGATGGGAATAGTTGTGGAATTTTTACATTAATGTTTGCAGAAGCTGTTACCAACAATGTGGACATCAGTATTGTAGATCCAACGGCTGTAACATTTTACCGTCGATACATTCGTGCTAGACTAGTACAACGCATGTGCGCTAACGTCAATAACGAAGATATATGTGACACACCGTTTTGTGTTAAACCCCGTGGGGCTCGTTTAAATTGGTCACAGTGTGATCTGTGCAATCGTTGGTGTCATAATGCCTGCGCACCATGCCAATCTTTTCACACCACTTTTTTATGTAGCCGATGCATTTGAAAAAATAAATCACTGGTTTATAAAATCTCAATAATTTTTTGTCAACTTTGTAAAAAAATATATTATTTTTAATAAAAAAAAACAAAACATTATTCCTTAATACTTGTGAACTTGATATAATAATTATATTAGTTAGTTAATCCCGAAAAAAAATGGCTTTGGCCGGCTTTTAGGTTTTTGGGCCGGGCCGGGTTGGGCCGGCCGGGTTTTAGGTACAACCCTGGTTTCGGCCGGAATTCCGACTGTTTATTTACCTTTTCCCCTTCTAAAACGAAAAAAAAATTATTTTATAAAAACAATTTTATATTTTTCTGTTTCTAAAAATGACTTATTATTTGATAAAATATTATTGAAATTTTTTAACTTTAAAATTAGTTTTTTTTTTTTTTTTTTTTAATTAGATTTTTTTAACTTTATTTACTCATTTCATCACATTTTATTGAACACTTTATTTACACTGATTACATGATATATATTCAGTGTAAATAATGGTTAAAAAGAATTTTATAAAAGTTTTTGAAATAACTCCGTAACTGTGATCTTGATATTTTAATTTATTATAAACAATGAACATTTTGACTTTCAGTTTTAGTTATTTATTTTCACTTTTTAATAATTTATTATACATTTTTAGTTTTAATTTCCAATATGTTGTTTCAGGTTAGTAAAAAATAAAAAAGTAAAAAAATGTATTTTTATGCATTTCATGTATATTTTATATACATCAATATTATATTTTGAAATATTATATTATAAACTTTTTATATTAATTATATAAGTATTATATTAATTAAATATTTATATTAATTATATATTTATATAAATATTATATTGATTATAATAAATATTTATATTAATTATATATTTATATAAATATTATATTAATTAAATATTTATATTAATTGTATAAATATTATTAATTTACATTATTATTACTTGTTAATAATAATATTATTAATATTTTTATTGTTATTGTTATTATTGTTACTATTATTATTGCTATTATTATTATTATTATTATTATTATTGTTATTGTTATTATTGTTATTATTACTATTATATGTTACTGTTTAAATATGTAATATTCTTTTGCTAAAGATTTTTCACGGTAACTGTTTCTAGTAACTTGCTTGTATTTTTTATGTGATTCTTCTCTGATACTTGATAAAAAGCTTTTGGGTTTGCATGATACTGTTTAACTTTGTTTATGCTTAATTTAATTTTGAAGTGTTGAGTGAGGTGGCCTCTAGTTCTTCAGTTTCAAGATTTTTTAATCATTAGATTAATAAATGTTTTGCTCATTTCAATGTGTCTAGTTCAGAGTAAGCTTTATTGACTATTGATGTCATTTAGTTTTTCCATTTGAGATTGTTACCTATATTGATATTTAGGTCCAGTTTGTGTGTTGCTTTCTTTAATTTGATCATTGTTCCATTATATGTGTGGTTATATATATATATATATATATATATATATATATATATATATATATATATATATATATATATATATATATATATATATATATATATACAGTGGTGGCCAAAAATTAAAGACCACTCATTTTTTAGTTGGTTTCTTAATCTTTAAATCAAAATTAAGAAGATTCTAATTGACATATCAAATTTTTTTTTAAATGTCTTGTTAATTATAACATACGGATTAAAATGGTATAATTTTTTAAATTTAATTCTAATTAAATAGCGTTTAACTTATTAAAAAACTGATGAGTACTTCTTTAAATAAATTGGACAAAATTTAACAACCACAAATCTTGAATTTGCACTTATTAAAAATAATAATTGATTATTTTTTTTAACTTTCTTAATTGCTTATTACGTTGGCTATAAAATAAAATGTCCAAACCTGAGTTTTGATATCAAATAAACATTTATTTTTTGGATTGCAATAAGGATATAAAAATATTGCAAAAATGCGTGCAAAGATCGAAGAAAAAGACAGATACGCGGCTCTTGTATTAAAAGAAGAAGGCTATAGCATCAGACAAATAGCAGAAAAGCTCAGAAGGTCTCACTCTTGCATTATTAACATAATTCAACGATACAAAGAGACCGGGTCAATTAATGATCATTATAGGACTGGACGCAATAAAATTTCAAAAGACCGTGATGTTCGCTCGTTAGTAAGACTATTGAAAGAAAACAGACAAGCATCATCTTCAGACTTGTCTACGAAATGGACACTGTCAAATGGTCTGAAAGCAAGCCCTAGAACTGTGCGAAGGGTCCTCCACAATTTAAATTATTTATGGCGTGCTGCTGCAAAAAAACCACGCTTAAATAAAAAACAAAAATTTGCCAGGAAAAAGTGGTGCAAACTACATAAAAATTGGTCAACAGATCAGTGGAGTCGTGTGGTCTTTAGTGATGAAATGAACGTTGAGGTAGACAACAGAAAAGGTCGCGTAATGTTGCGTAGACTTCCAAGCAAACGGTTCGATGAATCATGCATTTTGAAACTAACAAAACAAGGCAGTGGTTCAATAGGCATTTGGGCCTGTATGAGTGCCTGTGGAGTTAGCGTTTTTCATTTAATCGATGGTAGACTCAACAAAGAAAGGTACATCGAAATTTTGGAAAACTCACTTATTCCTAGTATTGATTTATGGCAGTTGCAAGATGGATTTATTTTCCAGCAAGATAATGCTCCGTGCCATAAAGCGCATGTTGTTAGCGATTGGTTCAATTCTAATAAAATTCAAGTGCTTCTATGGCCTGCCAATAGTCCAGACTTAAATCCAATAGAGAATTTATGGTCGTGGCTTGATCACAAGCTTGGTAAAGAACAACTTTACAATTTGGAAGATTTGAAATCTTCTATCTCTCATCATTTGAATAATGTGCCAGATGAAGTAATCAAAACTTTAATGAATTCAATGCCAGAACGAGTACAAGAGTGCTTGAAAACAAATGGAGGAACAACACGTTTCTAAATTATTTTTTTATTGCTTTTTGAAATATTTTTGAAACTGGTCTTTAAATTTTGTCCAATTTTTTTTCCATTTATATTTTTTACTAGTCGTTTTTTAATTTTTTAACATTATTTTGTAAAAAAATTATAAATCCTTTTATAATAAATATAAAATACAATAAAAATTCTTTCTAAAAATGTTTTTCTTTCTTTGATATCTTTTTCCAAAATAAAATTATACTAAGGTTAAAAATAAATTTTGAAAAAAAAAAGAGTGGTCTTTAATTTTTGGCCACCGCTGTATATATATATATATATATATATATATATATATATATATATATATATATATATATATATATATATATATATATATATATATATATATATATATATATATATGTATATGTATATATATATATATATATATATATATATACATATACATATATATATATATATATATATATATATATATACATATATATATATATATATATATATATATATATATATATATATATATATATATATATATATATATAAAAAGTTTATAATATAATATTTCAAGTAGAATAGCTTGAGTTATTTTCTCAATTGGCTGATTTGTCTCTAGTTTGAAACAGTTAAAACATTTCACGATTTTACATTTTTCTTTATCAATTTCATGGTTCAACTTATCTTTAACTTAACTAGTTTATTTAGATAGTAATTTTGCTGGTTCAGTTTTTATTGTTATGAGTGTAGTTAGGCAAAAATACAACATTTTTTACATCAAACCAGGATTAAATTATACCTAAGATATGCAATTGGTTTTGTTTAGCCTGTATCAATTGAAACTCATCCCATTTGTTGAGTAGCAAATTTTGCATTTGAATAGAAGCAGTTTAAGTTATTTAGTTCTTATTATTATTCAAATTCTTGAATTGAGTTAATGTGTTTGATTTCAATCTTTTTAAGTTCGCCTGAACAGATTTTCCGATAGTTTTTTTTTCCTATCATGTTTGCTGTCACATTGCCCCCCATTTTTGTCAGCAACTTCATGATTATAAGCAGCATTTCTGGAGTTTCTGATTTTTTTTAGTTCATTGTTTAATAGATTATCATTTTCAGTATTGTCTTTGCTAATTAAAACATTTTTGAATTTATCTATTAATTTTTTGAATTGCTAATTACTAACTTTTAAGTACCTATGCAGTCCAATTTCATTATTAGCAGGTCTGGTGTTCCTTCTGATATTTTGTTATTTTTTAGTAAGATGTATTATTCTTTTTGTATTTTTTAATAAAATGTTGGCAGTGATTACCTTTAGCATTTTTTAAAATGCTTTTTCAATCATTTTTTATAATTTTTTATATTTGTACTTTTGTCTTCACTTTCACTTATTGGGCATAGCTTACAATAATTTTTTTTAAATTTTTAAATGTTGTTTTTGAGTTAATGGATAGGTTTAACCATTCATTGAAATTTCAGTTTTTTTGGTTTTGTTAAATTTTGTTTTTTTGCTTGTATGTATGAGAGTATTTTTGATTTGACTACAATAGGTACACATTCTTTCATCTTCAAGAAATTTCATTTGTTTTAGAAGCTCAGAAATAACTAATGATATTTCACTACATCATTTTTGGTAACATCACCATTTAAAACCAGGGGTGTGGAGTCATAAAAAAAAAGTAACGACTCCGACTCCAGTTGTTGAAATTTTTTGAGTACAACTCCAACTCCGACTCCAACTCCAAAACAAAATTTTTGAAAAATTCTTTGAATTCCTTAAAAAATATTGCGTGATAAGTTAGAATTTTTTTTTTGACAAATTTATGAAACGTTCTTTAAGATTTAGTATGGACATAAGGTTAATTGAATGTTTTTACTATCGGAGTCGGGGTCGCGATATTTTTTAGCGACTCCGACTCCGCTTAAATTGTCGCAACTCCGACTCCACAGCCCTGGTTAAAACAGAAATTGATGGCCGGTTTGCCTTAAATTTTCAGCAAATAATAGTCTGTCTTCATAATTATTTTACTAATATATGATATATTTAAAATATCTTGATATGTAAAACTTATTACACTGTGCCTCAAAAATTTTAGTATATATTTTTATATGCATATATATATATATATATATATATATATATATATATATATATATATATATATATATATATATATATATATATATATATATATATATATAACCCTTGGAATTAGGGTTGTATATATATATATACAACCCTAGTTCCAAGGGTTGTATATATAAGGTCCCAATTAGGGACCTTAAACACTTTCAGATCAGCACCTAACTGCTGATCTGAAAGTGTTTAAGGTCGGCAAAAAATTGCAGACCTCGTTTTTATGTTTTATGGTCAGACCTTTGAATCCAATAATTTTTGCTGACCTGATCCCGACCTTAAAAAGATTGAGGTCGGCAATAATTTGCCGACCTCATTTTTCCTAATTCCGAGGGTTGTTTATATATATATATATATATATATATATATATATATATATATATATATATATATATATATATATATATATATACATTCATATATATATAAGTTAATTGTTTAAAAATAATTGCTGTTTAGATACCTACTTGTATCAAGCACCTATTTACAATGTAGTTATTGGTGAGTGTGTGGAATTGTTAGCTGTCACTCATTTTAATCATAATGGTTCTGAAGAAATTACATGGAAGAAAGATAACAAGTTACTAAATGATAACAAAGGAGCAAAAAGTCTATCAATCTCTTCAGTGTCAGAGCAAGATGCAGCATATTATCAAGTTAAAGTGCATAATAAATACCTTGGTGTAACGGAAGTTACTGATATATGGCTAAATGTCAAAGGTATTTAAATATGTTTTCTAATTTTAGCTTATATTATAATTACTTGTTAGTTTGTGGGATTTTTGGAATTTTTGAATATAAACAATACAATAAAAATTTTTGAATATCAACAATACAAAGTTAACAGAAAAATTTCATAATAAAAAAAATTAACTAGGTTACAAAATAATTTTTCTGAGACATTTTATACAATTTTAATTTATAATAGAGTTTTTTTTTGTCTAGGATGTCAATTGTATCAGAAGGCCATTGTTAAATCAAGTACTCGTTGTGGTAAATTATGCATAGGTATGATTAATTTATAAAATATTTTTTTAATTATTTAGTTAGAAGTAAATAATTAAGAGTTGATAAAATTTTTTAAATAAATTTTTAGTAATAAAATAATTTTAGATATAAAATAATAGTTTAAAAAAAATTAATACTGATAAAGATAATATCAATGATGGCTATAATACTTTTGACTAAATCCAATTTAGCCACATAAAATGTTACTGATGACATTATACTGTAGCATGCAATGTGCGAGTACAACTACTAAGTGTTCCGGCATGTACTATTAAAAATGTTAAAATTTTATTGACACCTTATGTTTAAGATAACAAAGTTAGATTGTGGAGATGGGCTAAAACACTTAATTTTTACTCTATAGTTCTGAACCATCCTATATTTTATCAATATTTGCCACTACTACTACAACAACAACTACTATATAAATATGTATTTATAATAAATATATATTTATAATAAATATATATTTATAATAAATATATATTCATATATATATATATATATATATATATATATATATATATATATATATATATATATATATATATATATATATATATATATATATATATATATATATATATATATATATATATATATATATATATATATATCAAACCTTCCTGGGAAGCCTGGTGCCTTGTTTGTACATGCTTTAAGTAATTTTTTGAAACAACTTGACCATGTTTTTATATATTAAGCATTTTAAGAATTTGCGGAAAAGTAAACCTTTGAGAAACTAGAGAATAAAACAGCGATACTTGAAGAAAAAAACTGAAGACTTTACATAATAGAAGATCTAAATAAAATAAGCTTAAAAAAAAATTGAATATTAAAAAAAGAAAATTTTTGTCAAAAATATAATATACCTAAATATTTTACTGTTTTTTTTCTTCTTATTCTTAGGGTGTTTGTTATTTTCCATCCCAAAAATTGATACAAGTCAAGGAAAAAAGTAGATAAGAATATAACGAAAAAATATTTTTTATATACAATTTTTTCGCAACTTTTTTCTTTTCATATTAAAAGAAATATTTTATAATTTGCGCTAGAAGCACAGATAATTCTTAAATTTGTTTTTTTTTTTACTGTTTTTATCAATGCACAGTGAAAGTGAGAAAACTAGTTGCTATTTATTTGTAAAAATTTTTATTTTTTTTTAAACAAATTTTTCATATAAAAAAATAAATCGATGCTCCAAAATCTTGTTGTTTTAATAAAATGTTTAGGAGGCCTATTTAAAACTTTTTTATTAAGTTTTTAAATACATTTTTTTAAACAGAGCAATTGTTATGTTTATTATCTCTAGTGATTCATTTTAACATTGGAAATTGGGCAATATGAGAGAAATAATTTCATATATGCATCAAATGCGGTAAATACATTTATTTATTTTATTCTATTATTTAACTTATTCCGTCATTACAAATTTTATTATTCAAATAATATTTTTTATTTTTCTATTAAATAACTCTTGAAAAAAATGTCAAATATAGCAAAAATATTTTTAAAAGCAAAAAGACGTAATAACGAATAAATAAATAAACATAATAAGCGTAAGCAAAAAAATTAACAAAATTTCTTATGGTTCTAGCGTACATAGCAAATTAGTTTCTTAAATATATGGGCTTATAAAAATAGTGAATAAATTGCATATCAAAACTTTCAATTGTGATTAAATCGTTATAAAAGATATTTTATTTAATGTCTCTAAATAAAAAAGAATACAAAAGTTGTATAAAAATTTTATAAAAATTTTTTTAATTATTAAATTTTCTGGTTATTTTAATTTAACTTGATATTTCCTTACAATTTTGTTTCCTTTTTTTAGGATTGTTTTTTTTTCTTAGTAGATAAGTTTAGCTTTTTGCCGCAAATTATTGAAATGCTTTAAAAAGTTAAAAGATGCGAACTGCAGTGGTTAGTGTCTAAAAAAATTACTTCAATTGTGGATGAACAAGGCGTGTGATTGCACACATTTCCCGGAAAAGCTTGATATATATATATATATATATATATATATATATATATATATATATATATATATATATAATATATATATATATATTGGTCTTCTCTGTTTGAAATATTATGCCAGCACACAAAAAAGCACTGTCATTTTTAAGTTAGTCTGCGTCATTTAAAAAAAATTTTTTTTACCTTTTAAATTAAAATAAAAATAGAGAAAAAAATGCTTTGAACAAATACTAGATAGAATAATTTAAAAATAAACTGGTAAAAAAAAGCCATTATTTATAAAAGTTTAACAAATGAACAAAAAAGTTATGTTGCAATTTAAAACAAAATGCATTTACTTTTTTGGCAAGCACTTTTATATGCGCTTGCTAAAGTTTTTGCGGGTGTGTGGGCAAAAAGACTTGAGTGCCAAAGTGCTGGCTAAACAGAGAAGACTGATATATATATATATATATATATATATATATATATATATATATATATATATATATATATATATATATATATATATATATATATATATATATATAAAATCACTTTTCAAATTTTTTTTTATTTTAAACTGTTTTATATATAAAGACTCATTTAAAATGAATAATCAAATTAATAAAACCTCAATTTATACAAAAAATTAAATTACAGAAGTTGTAAATGTCTTTTCTACAAATATGTGATATTTGTGAAATATGTTAACACTATTATAAACAGAATTCTTTAGAATTGTTTACTTCTGGGTTTTTTTTAAATATATTTTGAAGGAGGATTTATTATATTTATTTTTTGAGCTTACTTATTTTTATGGTTTTTTAAGAGAAACTTATTTTAATGTCTGCATTTTGAAATCGATTTCGATTTTTTGTTTAATAAAAGTTCTTGGTTCACGCGTTTAATTGTTTTAAACTTTTCTCATAGACATGATATGCAATTTTTTGGAAATATTATTTAATGCAGGTGATGTTTTAAGGATTGAGCAATTCAATATATAATCATCAATATTTTTTATCTTTTAATTCCCATATGGGTAATTCCATGTCAAATGACCCAGGTCATGTCACCATACATCTCAGATTTTGCTGATTTTTATACAGTTGAGAGTGCTTAGTAAAATAAGAATTCTTTGAAATTTTTAGCCTCTGGCTACAAGAAGGTCCTGAAATATGACCATTTTACTTTTTGCAACATTTGCAACATTTATTTAGAGGTTTTAAGTCACATAACTTTAAAAATATTTGATTTTTTTACTTAAAAACTTTTAACTGGCTATTTTTGGGGGTGACAAATCCAATGGAATGATCAGAAGTGTAAATTATTGTTACTAAGTACCTGTAATTTAAATAAGTTTAGGCAATTTTTTATATACCTATATATATTTATTATATAATATATATATTTATTATATAATATATATATATTTTAATGCTCAAGAAACCCATGTGGCCTTGATGATATCAAAAAAAAAAAAAATTATTACACATTATTCTATATTTATTGATCTTTCAAAAAATATAAAGATTTTGATCTGTAAGTATATGGATTTCCATATATGGATAACGGGGCACATTCCCACTTTTTTTGTAGCAGAATATTACAATTGGCTATTCACTAACTTCCAGACTAGCTGGAGCTCTGAAAATTTTGGAATTTCTGTAGTGCCAATGAACATGCATGTTAAAATTGTTTTCAGGGCTCCAAGACATTAGGGGGAACTGGGGCAAGTGCCCCACTTTTTTGTAGTGGGATCTTGTTATTTTTTTTTTACTACCTTCCAGAGAAAATAGAGCTCTGAAACTTTCAGCATTTGTGTAGTCCTAATGGACGTGTGTTAAAATTGTTTCCTGGGCAGACAACCAGAGGGTCCATGGCCTGGGGCACTGGGTTCATGCCCCACTTATTTTCTCAAAAAAAAAATTTTTTTTTTTTGCATTTTTTTTGCATTTTTATAATAAAGTAAAGATGATATTGTTTTCAAAATTTTTTTTGGTATGTACTTGTTCTGTTATATTTAATTATTTACAGAATAAAATAAAAAAATGTAAAGTCTCAAGATTGTGTTAATTTGCTCAGATGCGTTAACGGTCAAAGTATACATACGTCCAGTTGTTGTTACAGATGCATCAATGGTAGAAATTATGTTGGTAATTGGAACCCAACACTCATCTGCTCTAGATAGTCAGAAAAGTTTTTTAAAAGGAGTGTGCAGGTATATAAATATTACCACATCTTGCTCATACCAATCCAATCAAATGTATCATATTTACACCAAACAAATTCACCAAAGTTCAATGCATTAATGTTAATTTTCAATGTGTTGATGTTATTTTGCTAATTAGGTTAAATACTTTATGAAATGAAAATTTAACCTAATTATAATATGAAATCTTCACTTGTTCATTTAAAACTAATAGTATCTATAGATTTTGAGTTAAAATGATGATAGCTCCTAATTCCAGGAATTTTTCTACTTAGCTAAAAACGTTTTTTTCAAAGTGTTGCACAATTCCTCAGTCTTTCTTTTTCAATTTTGAAAAAAAGTAAACCCTTTTATATTTATTGCCCAGCAGTCAAGCATTTTATTACATTCAATGCCTGGTTGTTTATGAGGCTTTGCAAACTTGCATTTGCAGTTAATCGTTTTACAGTCCCACCAATACCATCGCATGGTGACTTATCATAACTTAAAGCAAAAATGTCCACTTTGCATCAATATCAAAATTATCTTTATGGAGACAGATATTGTAAATGTTTTTGTGGTTTTTATACTATGCAGCACAACCATAGATAAAGAATCTTTGAAATATTAGAATCATTTTCATTTAAATAATTAACTATTTGTATCTTCATACACAAAACCAATGTTATGCTTATTATCTTCTGACATGAAGCAAAACAATTTATCCTTTAAACTGGTCAATTTCATTTAATAAATAGAGGGCAACAGTTTAACATGCATTGACTTTGGTACCAATCGTAACTTTTGATTTCATCTTAAATCATTTTGGAATGTAGGAATGAATTGTTAA